GGTCCAGGTGGCTTTGACATCCTCAATATGATCACTTTTCCAAACAGATCCTTTCAGAGAGTAAAAGTTGGAAAGTTAGACCCCAATGCTCCAAAAGGAAAAGAACTCATCATTGAGGAGAAAGGAATCCTTTGGCACCCAGGTTTTAACCAGGTAGGAAATCATGCTTGTGTACCAAGGACCAAATTCCTTCTCTTACATGACCTCGTGAAATTTTGTTACATTTTGAGAGAAAAGGCTTATATAGGCTCAAAGAAATGCAATTCCTGGGTTAGTATATGTATGGTTATTAGTTTCACCAATTTTTGAAGGAGAACATTCGGTCAATTCAAATATTTCAAAATCTGTAGTCCATAAATCAAATTATTTATGAGAATTTGGCAGCCATTAGGCCCTGTATAGGAGACAGAGAGAGAGAGAGATCACTACATTTTAGTTCAACACATGACCCTTAATTTATATTAGTAGTTGTTGTTCTTGTTCAAGCTTACAATCTCATTTGCTTGGTGTTATTGTCAGATGATTTCAGGTGCTGGTATGACAGAAATATTAATGATGTTGATGGTCATTCACCTCATCCAGATTAGATAATTTCCATTGTCTCATCCACATTCTTTCAAGTCTTCATCTATCTCTAATGCCTCTAGGTTCTTCCACTTTCTCTTTGTAATGAGCACTGTTTCCCTGGATATTGGAAGAGAAGGTTCGAAGGGAGACCGTTCTGCTGCTATGACTGTGTTCCCTGCCCAGAACGGAAGATTTCAAATCAAAATGGTAGGTTAGACATTCTACCATTTTTTCATACTTCATACTTAAGCAACCTGTAATACTCTAATTTAGGTGCATATAATTAGTAGTTGTAGTAGTTCTTCAGGCTGAACATTCATTTCTCGATCTGTGGATCAAATTTGTTGTTCAGGATTCAGTGTTTTCCAGAAGATTCCCACAGGTAGGATTTCCTATACAGGCATCAAATATATGTGCATTGAGCCATAGATCTTATATGATCACATGATCTATATGTATTTATTTATTTGCCACATTTTCAACCTCATTTGCATTTGGTGTTCATTCCCCTAAGATAATTCACTCAGAAAAAAAATAAATCATGAACTTTTTAAAACTAAAGCTATATTAAGATTTTTTTAAAAAAATGTAGATTGTCTTTCCTACCTTCAGATTTCATCGTCATAATTTCTGATGACAAGATACTCGTTATAAGTCCAGCTAAGGAATCTCTGACCTGATCAATATCTGAATGGGAGATGACCAGATAGTTACAAGCTGTAGGGTAGACTGGGAATTAAAGAAAAATGTGCTGGAAAAAAACAAGGACAAAGTAATTTCTTCTTACCCCAAAAACCACATGGATATATCATTTGAGTCTATGGGCATTGAGTTCATTCAAAAGCTTCTGTATCTTTTCTTTCTTTTTGACCCAGATTAAGGTATGATTTGGGGATCACTACTCCCTCCTTTAAACACTGCATAGATATAAGGGGAGTCAAGTTAATGTTAAACTTCTGGTTAAATTTTACATAAACAATGACAATTTTTACAAATGATAGTTTAAATCTCCACAAACAACCTTTTGATTGGCGCAGGTGAGTTTAGCTGTCAATGAATGCAGATAGTTTTTCTAATCTATTTCCCATTTTCTGGGCGTTATCAAAGTGAAAGTAAAGAAGCTTCAGCAGAAAAAGGAAGAATTTTGAATGGATCAGACCTTCTACCATCAAAGCGAAATAGGGTGTGTTTTTGTAGAACCTACTAATGTTCTCCACACAGAACACATAAAGATCATAAAGCTCAGAATAAAATACAGATTTCAGACTAATATACCTTTCTTATCTTGACAATATAATTAGGTGATTGTTTTTGCTTGTTGGATCCCAATTTTTTTTTCAAAAAGAATGTCCTTTCCTTTGTTTACTCACTCTTTAGGAAGGAGGATACCTACAAGAGTTTAAATGAAGTACTATGGTTTGTACCTCAGAGTCATTACTTCTGCTTCTGCTACTAATATCTTATATCCATCATCACTATTTTCTTCCCCACGTTTTGGAAAAATGGGGAAAGTCCAATTTGTCTCTGCTGAAATAAATTTGAACATTTTAAAAATGACTGCATTTCATAGAATGATTGCCCTCACATTGTACTTTCTTTATGCCAATTCTAAATGATACAATTGAGGAAAAACTGCACTTTCAAATAAAAATGATCAAACTGGTAACCAGTGAAAAGAACTCAAAATGAATAGCATCTGGCACCCAATCAGAAAGTAATTTTCAAAAATATGAAATGCATAGATGACAAATTCCTTGCCTTTTCTTCCAGATATGGATGACTGTTTTGAATGTTCAGAAGCTTATTATCCAAATGAAGAAAAGAAAGGATGTACCTTGAAACCGGTGGTTTTTCTAACTTTGGAAGAAACATTAGGAATTGGTTTAGCCTCCACTGCTCTTTCTTTCTTCTTCGTGACATCTTGGGTTCTTGGAACATTTATTAAGCACAGGGATACTCCCATTGTTAAAGCCAACAACCGGGCCCTCTCCTACACCCTCCTTGTCTCTCTTCTTCTCTGTTTCCTCTCCTCATTTTTCTTCCTCTGCCAACCTGGCCAGGTCACCTGCCTTCTCCGACAATCCACTTTTGGCATCACCTTCTCAGTGGCCATTTCTAGCATCCTGGCCAAAACCATCACTGTGGTGGTCGCTTTCATGGCCATGAAACCAGGATCTCGGATGAGGAAATGGGTGGGGAAAAGATTGGCCTTTTCTACTGTCCTTTCCTGCTCTCTCTTCCAAGTCTGGATTTGTACTCTTTGGTTGTCAACATCTCCCCCATTCCCCGAGTTAGACATGCACTCAGAAGCCAAAGAAATTATTTTCCAGTGCAATGAGGGGTCAGCCTCCTTCTTCTACTGCATCTTGGGCTACATGGGGATCTTGGCGTTTGCCAGCTTTCTTGTGGCCTTTCTTGCCCGTAAATTGCCTGACAGTTTTAATGAAGCCAAGTTCATCACCTTCAGCATGTTGGCCTTCTGCAGTGTGTGGGTCTCCTTTGTTCCAGCCTATCTGAGCACGAAAGGAAAGGCCATGGTAGCCGTGGAGGTCTTCTCCATCGTGTCCTCCAGTGCTGCATTAGTGGGATGCATCTTTTTGCCAAAATGCTTCATCATTGTTTTCAGGCCTGAGCTCAACCACAGGGAGCAACTAACAAAGAGAAATT